TTACTCAACCAATGAGTATTGGAAAAGAACAAGACCATCACACTGATGTTCTTGTATTTCTTTCTACACTGCAACAAGCTGATGGAATATATGGAATAATTTTAACAATGATATCGATAACACTTCAAAAACTAAACACAAATATTTCCAATATGTATAAAAAAGATCTGTTTCTTGCTTTAACATCTCAATAAATTCATACTTTCAACTTAACATAGTTGAAGAACCCTTCGTTGGGATCAAAACAATGTTTCCATATCTAACTGATTTTTTTCTTTGACAGATGTAAAACCTCTACAGTATCTACACCAATGACTTTTTCCATAAATTTGAAAGTCTCTTGAGGCAAAACACATCCAAAGTGTTAATTGGGCATGATTTCCTCTAAAGCTGAAGGAAAGCCCTTGCAATTTTTCAAAAGTTAAATCTGTTGAAATTTGGTATAGTTAGAAAGATTTTGTATTCAATGGGGCATTATTTAGTGGCTTCATTGAAGAGCTTTTATTTTTTGTAAAACATCCTTTTTCATTTTTTTCTTATAATTTTCAAACAAAAATTTTATAACTGAAATTAAAATTTATTCTCTCTCCAATGTAAGATGGTTTTCTTCTTTGCTCAAGAATCCAAGCCATCTTATGGATACCAGTTATAAGCTCAGACCCGACTAAAAATTGTTCTAAAAATGTTTGCTGGCCATTTAATTCTAATTTCAGGACAAGCTTAGAGCTACTACTTAGCCACAATCCCCCTGAACGCCACACAGGTTCAACAAGATCTCTCCATTCTACCTGATGGAACTTGAATGTCCCTCAGCCCAGCTCAGGAACCTATATAATTTATAGTGACCTAAGGAATTCTCTTTGCCGAGTCTCATGTAGTTGAATCCTATGCAGCTTAATATTCAGTCTAAGATTCAAAGAACTCAAGATTTCTGGAGTTTTCCAGTGTTTCCCAAACTTTTGACGTATGTGTACCCCTTCTATAATTTTCGTAACACTGCGTAGCCCTCGTACTCATGAAAACGTAGAATTAGGCGTAGCTAAGCATGGTGCAACGCATACCCCCACCAAACTCTTCCCGTACCCCTGGGGGTACGTGTACCACACTTTGGGAAACACTGTTCTATGCATATGTACCTCTTCTCTGGTACTCTGTCTCAGCCTCCCCAAACTCTGATTTTTTTGGTCTTCATTTCGGCTAAGATTGTCACATCTACTTGGGCCCACCTTCCTTGTGGTCTGAAAAAGTGCCTCCAGGCAGAAAGCCAGGAATATTGGAGGGATCACTGCATTCTGCACTGTGTGTTGTATAATGAAAACAAGTATTTCATACATTTTGTCCAATTTCTTGTTTACCGGTAAGAGGGCAAGTCCAGTTCCAGCTCATTTTCATATCTTGAAGTGGAATTTTCTGCATTGCAATTGCCTCTGGCACTGCTAAAAAATTTTTTCTTGCTAAAGCCCATAAATATATTTTTCTGGACAAATAAATATATTTGTCTTATCTTTCTAACTTTCTTCCCTGCTGTGACTGACAGGCTATTACTTCCTTTCTCCCCAGGAATCTAAAGGATTGCATTTCTCTCATTTTTGTTTTAGCAACCCATCTGCTCCTTTAGCTTTTTCTCTGCTGGTGTTACTTTAGTGTCACTTTTCTCTTGCGTGGGCATCCTCAAGAGTGATCCTTGAGGCTCTTTCTCTTCCATTATCCAGCTCCTTTTTGGGGATCCTTACTGTAATGCATGAGGGTTGGCAGTATGTCTGCTGGCTGGATCAAATACAAGTTGAGAAGGATTCTCTACTTATCTGGGTTTCCCCTTTTATAAGGGCCCAAGTATCAGCTCAGTCTCACCATTTGTAAAACAGAGGCCCTACATTCTGCAAAATTTAAAAATACATGTAGTACATATAAACTGTGTAGAAAATGGTATAATAAACACCCACCAATCTAATATCCAATTAAATTACATATACATAAAGCATGACAGATATAGAGCCCTCAGTCTATTTCTCTCAATTCTCCTCTCAACATTCCCCTTTTTACCTTCCTTCTAGAAAGTAGCAAGACCACTGAATTTGATGTTTTTAATTTCCATGAAACACACACACACACACACACACACACACACACAGCATTATACATATACATACACATATACATATACATACACAGACACATGTACATATACATTTATGCCCAATCCTGCAGCTCAAATAAATCTCATCTCCTCCACCTTGGTGCAAACACCACCTGTGGGCTCCTTGGCACTCACAAATATTGTCCTGAATGAGAAGTTATCTTTTCCTGATTATGCACCTCATCTTTCCCCTAGAGCTCATACTCCCTTAAGGTTGATACCATACCATTTAGCCATCGGCTTTGCTCATATTAGACCAAATAAACAGATGTCGTTGCTTGTTTGGTTCATAGGGTGTCCAACCATCCAGGTTTGCCCAGGATGTAGGGAGGTCCTGGGAAGGAGACTTTCAGTGTTAGAACTGGGAAAGTCTCTAGCAAACCAGGATAAGTTGGGCACCGTATGATTACCTAAACATCTGTGGACATCTGTGTGGACATCAGTGTTTTTTCTGCTTTGTTCCCATAGTTGAATTTTACTTGTGATTTTTCTCCACTGTCTCATTCATAGCTGTTTTCAAACCACTTGGAATGGACAAATTAATGAATTTTTTTCTGAATGAATGAATAAGGAGCATCATTATATCTTGTGAAAATAACATTTTCATTCTAGATAACAGGACCTCATAGTTCCACACATACAAAATTTGTTAAGTATTAGGCAAGCTTATGGTGGTGACATTCAATTTCATATGGTAGTTCTTAATTTTTTGAGGAATTCCCATTTTTTCCATAGTGACTGTACTAATTCACATTCCTACCAATAATAAAGATATGGATCCATCAGTGCAAAACTGCCAAGTCAAAGGGAGGCAGGTTATTCGGCTCATTTATTTTTATTTCCTAAGTTTAAATTTAGACTTAACAATTTTTATATTCCTTCTACTCTGCAAGTGTTTAACCATTTTTATGTAAACGACAAATCAATTTCTGAATTTTGTTTAGTACTTGCTGTATTTTGGATAGTGAGGGTCTTACAATAGGGTAGATAGAGAACAATTTGGTTCTCTTTGTGTTACTTCTTATATAATACTCACTTTTATTAAGCATCACTATACGGAAAACACCGCTCTAAAAAACGTCCTTGTCTTTGAGAAGTTTAAAATTTAGACAAAATCTCCAAGGAAGAGATCCAAGTAAGAGTTAAGTGGCAATCCCCAAATCTGCAAACCACTGATCAGCAAATTTGTCCTGGTTCTGTTGTGGCAGTGGAAGGCCTTTGGCTGAAGAAGGCGTGAAGATTAGTGGGATACTAAGTTGATATGAGAAACCTACACTTGGAGGGTGCAGATTTGTAGAAATCTTTGAAGTAGTAGATGCTAGCTTGCCCAAGCCTGGCGCGAAAATAATTCCCCAGAACCGCGGTGCCAACGTCACTCTACAGCCGCCCATTTACGCTGCAACCACCAACTCTGCGGCTTAGGGCTAGTGAGGCTCCAAGGCCCGCCCATGAGCCCAGTACCCCGCTCCGATTGGACAAGCTTACTTCCTCGCCTTTCCCGAGCTCCTCCGCCCGTCAATTATCCTCCCCTCCCTTTGCCCCGCCCCCTTTTTGGTGATTTAACATCACACGCTATTTCCCGCCCCAGCCCTCAAACTCCTCAGTCGCTTCAGTTCCTCATTGGCCAGCAAGAGAGGAGGGGGAAGGAAAGGGGTATTCTGTTTTACTCCCTAAAACTACCCTCTGAAGCTTCCTGGTCTTCTCTTGAGCTGTCAGGAGGGCAGCGACGGCCCGGAGCTGTCACGCAAGCGTGCAAAGACGCTCACTGGTTGGAGGGGCACTTTCACCGCTCCGTTGTGACGCGGACGGCGTTCCGCTCGCCGTCTTCACTTACGATTGGCTACGAGCACAGTCCGTCACACAAGCCACGCCCCGTTCCGCTGCCTAACCTCTCCGCGGGATACACTTTCCAGGACGCCACGCCTCACCGCGTTACCGCCGCCGAGCCCTGCAATTGGCTGAGGGAGCTGGCATGCTTTTCCACCCACAACTCCCTCCCAAGTATTCCGAGGCTGGCGGGACCCCGCGGAAGTTGTCAATCTCCGCCCTTCCCCGCCCCTGGCGAGGCCCCGCCCCCGGGCCTCACGCCCCGGCGCGCGCACACGCACACTCACTGCCCCCCTCCCTCGCGCGTCCCCACCAAGTTGTAGCGGACGCTCGCAGGCTCGCAGGGGGTTCTGCGTGGGCGGCGGAAGGGCGCGTGGGGGAGGGCGCTCCGGCTGCTCCGCACCCCGAGGAGCGCTGGTGTGCTCGCCCAGAGCCCGGGCGGCGGGTTACCGCCACGGGAGATGAGGGGACCGCGCTGACTGGGAAGAGCGGGCACCGCGGCAGAGGCTCGGAAGGGACCCGCGATGGCAGCGCCTCGGGAGGAGACTCCAAGAAAGGCGGCGGGTGGCTGTGGCAGCGGACGCTGAGGTGCTGCTGGCCAGTCGACTCGCAAACTGGAGCGAAGGCACGAGAGGCGCGCTCCGGCATCTGCATCCGCGCCCCGCGCTCCGTCGCCTCGATTAGTCTAAACTTCAGGCTCCCTTCCACCCGCCCTCAGCGCCCGGAGTCAACAACTTCTTGGCCCCGCTGCGCCCGCCGCCCTTGCCTCCGTCGGCCCCGGGAGCCCGCCGCGCGGCGGGGACCAGGAACCTCCGGCCCTGAGATGCGCTCGTGAGGCGTTGGCGGGCGGCGAGGAGAAGCTCGGCGGCGCCCGGGAGCGGGAAGACGGTGTGGCCGGGGGCACGGGGCGGAGGGGCGCGACCGCTCCGCGCCTCACCCCCGCCTCCTCCTCCTCCACCTCCTCCCCCTCCTCCTCCCGCCGCCGTCCGTTCGGCGCTAGCAGCAGCCGGGGCTGGCAAGCGCCTGGGCCGCGGAGATGTCGGCGTCGTCGCCGCCGGCGGCGGCGGGGGCTGCCAGTGCCGCCATCTCGGCCTCGGAGAAAGTGGACGGCTTCACCCGGAAATCGGTGCGCAAGGCGCTGAGGCAGAAGCGCTCCCAGGGCTCGTCGCAGTTCCGCACCCAGGGCAGCCCCGTGGAGCTGCAGCCCCTGCCCCAGCTCAAAGGTAAGTTTTGCAAAGGGGGCGCCCGCAGAGCCATTTCCTTCCGGGGCTCTGGCTGCCCCGCTGAGGCGGGTGGTGCCAGGCGCATTCCCCGCGGTTCCCCCCTCCGATTCCAACAGGTTTGCTGTGTGAAGAGTTGCCTTTTTTTTTTTTTTCTCTCTCTCTCTCTCCCCGATTCCCATCAACTCTTGCCATCTGAGAGGAGCAGGCCAACCTTCCCCACCTGCGCGCTCGCTCACCTGCCCTCCTCGTTATTGGAACTCGCCCAGTGCGCCCAGAGAGGGGGACTTGCCTCTTCCCCGGGCTTGCCTCCCCCCACACCCCTACCCCCACCCCGTTTCTTGCTTTGGACAACCTGTCTAACCTTCCGACCTTCGCTCTCCCGAGACCCACCACCTCTTTTCGGACTAAGAAGTTCGTCTCTACGTGCCCACCCCTCTCCCAATTCCCTCTCGTTGATTTGTTCCTAAGAGTTTCACAGACCCGCACTCCTAATGGAAACAAAAGTTACCTGGCCTTTCGATACAGTGAGAACGAAAAAAAACCCTAAAATATCTACGCGGTATAGTTAGTGTCTTATTATTAACTGGGTCGTCAGGTTTCAATGTTACCTTTTGGCCCGAAGACGGGAAAGACTTAAAATGCTTCGAGACGTTGTGCCCAGTGAATGTGGAGAAGGAGCAAGGAGTGAGTTAAGTGTTGCTTTGCAATGGAATGGGAACTTAGTTCGCTGAGCAGTGATCCCATGGACCTGGTCGGCTTGTACAGTAGCTCAAATTGGTGTCCTTGCCGAATGCCTTGCAGGAGAACTTGGCTCACTTTTCCCACTTAAGTTTAGAGGATTTTTAAATACATTGTTTCCCGGTGTTCTAGTTGAATCTTTGTGAATTGATGTCTTCCGTTTTTAAGAGATCGAAACCATCATAGAACAAGATGATGATGCTCCTAGTTAAAACAATTTTCCGACGAAAGAAATCTGATAGAAATCTAAATCATCTGTTTTGCAAGGCCAGGAAATTAAAGGTTTATATTAAAATAGATAAATGTTCAGCAGATTTTTCAATCCATTTATCCTCTTCAAGGCCAATCTGGTTCTGATTTGCCTTTGGGCCTATGAATCCAGCCTTAGTTTGGCTAGGAGTCTAAAGAAAACCCCAGATCAAATCACAGTTGACCTACATACAATAGCTCTGGAACCCCATTCAGACCGTACATGGCCCTGCTTCTAAGTCAAGAGCATCCCATAGCCAGAATCAAACTGGCTTTTAAAAGAAAGTTTTATTTAAGGTATATGTAGCCTGTGCTACTGCATTGATAACTTGCTTCTTAGCATACAAAAATTGTTAACATTTATATATTGTAATCAATTGATAGGCATTACCAGGACTTCAATTCTTGAGTGATGTCGTAGCTATAAAAGAATTATCAACTTATCTATTATGGATTGCTATTCATGGATTTTAAATCTTAAAACTTAATTACAATATCATAGTTTCATATTGCTGATTTTCTTCATTAAATTGTTGAATTGTTTTTACAGTTTGAAGGTTTAGTGCTAGTGTTTTTCTTTCATATATATTTCATTTGCTTTTTAGTAAAGTATTATAGTTCTTTAATATTCTTACTGGTATAATATTTACTTTTACTTAACATAAATAATTGAATATTAAACATGGTTGGTTCAAGCCATGAGATGCAGCTTTAATACATTTTGTTTTTTAAGTGGCAAAAATATGCAGTCAGCCATCTAAGTTATATGGCTTATAATTCAATAAGTTGAAGGTGCAATTGAATGTCTTATTTATAGTATTTTGGTCATAGGTAGAGGAAAAAAGAGGAGTGGAATTTTAGATTATTTATATATATTTTGCAAGAAAATAAAATTTATACAAATTTGATTGAGGGAAATTAAGATCGTTACTTGTATTACCTCTAATAGGAAAAACTACTTTTACTCCAGATGCCAAAATGCTTGAAAAGTGATTTTTTTAAAAAATTGCAATTGCTTCACTTGGTACTTTGGCAGTGTATTTGATACCACAGCATTCTGTGCTTTTTCTGTCAGTAGTAGTTTTTTCTTTTTTCTTTTTTTTTTTTTTTTTTTTTTTAATATATTTTATTGATTTTACACAGAGAGGAATTGAGAGGGACAGAGAGTCAGAAACATCGATGAGAGAGAATCATCAATCAGTCGCCTCCTGCACACCCCCCACCGGGGATGTGCCTGCAACCAAGGTACATGCCCTTGACCGGAATCGAACCCGGGACCCTTTGGTCCGCAGGCCGACGCTCTATCCACTGAGCCAAACCGGTCCCGGCAAGTAGTAGTTTTTTCCATTTGTAGCCTTAACAAAAACCAGTGGAAAGCCCTTCAGTATGTGTATGAAAGAAAATTTTTCTTCTGCTCTGAAGTATTAGTTTAGTGTAGAGTGATTCAGTTATCTGTAGGCATCCAAGATTTTTCTGGTGTTTTTACCTGCTTGTGTTAACACTTTGTCTATATGGATCTAAAATAGAAAAGTGCCTGCTATTTTCCTCAAAACATACTGAAGGTATGAATTAACAAAAAAATAAGACAGCTTTTTCATCTGTAAGGAGTTTATTTTGCAAAATCATTTAGTAAGTGGGTTGCAAGTTTTTAATGTTGAAAATGGTCAGAGTAAATTTCCTGTTTTGCTATAGAAAGTATTTAATAGCCCAACCAGCATGGTTCAGTGGTTGAGCATTGACCTATGAAACAGGAGGTCACGGTTCGATTCCCGGTCAGGGCACGTGCCCAGGTTGTGGGCTTGATCCCCAATGGTGTGCGAGGAGGAGACAGCCAATCAATGATTCTTTCTCATCATTGATGTTTCTATATCTCTCTCTTCCTCTCACTTCCTCTCTGAAATCAATAAAAAAATTTTTAAGTAATAGGCCTTGTTAAAAGAATTTTTAAAAATGAGATACTGCCGAAACCGGTTTGGCTCAGTGGATAGAGCGTCGGCCTGTGGACTGAAAGGTCCCAGGTTCGATTCCTGTCAAGGGCATGTACCTTGGTTGCGGGCACATCCCTGGTGGGGGGTGTGCAGGAGGCAGCTGATCAATGTCTCTCTTTCATCGATGTTTCTAACTCTCTATCTCTCCCCTTCCTCTCCTTAAAAAAATCAATAAAATATATTTTTTAAAAATGAGATTCTGTTGTTATGAACTGGTATTTAAAAATATACTCTTATATTGTATAATTTTAATTTTTTTTTCAAAACACTTTTTAAGTTTCTTGTTAATTTTATAAGCACCTCAGAACAAGGTACTAAAAAACAAAAGTAGGAGCATCTTGTCAATTTTTTTCTGTACTTAAATTTATAGTAGTATAGGACTTTTTTTCTACCTTAAACTTCTGGTAACCAACAGTTAGGAAACTTTTAACTTTTCAAAAACATGTTATTCACAGTAGGAAGTTTTTCAGTCTCTTTAACTTTTTTTTAAGAGAAAGTGGCTTTTGTTTGTTTGTTTGTTTGTTAATCCTCACCTAAGGATATTTTTCCATTGATTTTTAGAATGGAAGGCAGGGGAAGAGACACATTGATTGGTTGCCTCTTGCAAGCACCCCTTAACCAGGCCAGGGATCAAGCCTGCAACCTAGGTACATGCCTTTGATCAGAATTGAACTCAGGACCCTTCAGTCCACAGGCCAGTGCTCTATCCACTGAACCAAACCGGCTAGGGCTGTTTAACTATTTTTAAGTCTGAAGGTTTGGTTTGATAATGTAGTCGATGTCTTATATTTATAAAACATGTAGCCTTTACAAATTACTTTACACTTTCTAAAAAATTATAATTCATAACCAGTGAAACAGTCCAAAGGTGTGTAACTCCTCATCTCTAGTATGTCTTGCTTTTTCACACCTGTAGTATGACAAGGCACAAGCTCAATGTCACTTTATAAACATATTTCATTGGGTCATCCCAGTAACTCTGTGTAAGACCAATGTTATTCCCATTTTATCCATGAGAAAATTGAAGTTTAAATAGCTTAGTTTCAGGCCTATGATTATTTATTAGAATGGTGTTGCAACTAACACTGGTACCCAGATCAAATTATTTCAATATTTTTGCTGGTAACCTATATGAAAATATGAAGCAGTAAAATAGAACGAGTTGAGTCAATGGGGTCAGTTCAGAGACCTGGTCAGATTTTTAATCTGAGTTGTTTTCCTTATCTGTAAAATGGGGATAATACCTTCAGTCTCTAGGATTATGGGGATTAAGTGAAATAATGTAATTAAAGTGCCTAAAAATAGATAGTCAAAGAATGTTAGCTTCCATTGGCTTTAATATTTGAGAATCCAGATTAAAAATATTTTTTAAAATGAAGGGTTCACATTGTAAGCTTTCCTAATGTACTTACAGTATGCTTTCATTTATAATCAGTATCAGATACGATTTATGTGAAGTGAAGTAACATTTTTTCAACATAAGTGTGGAAGTGGAAATAGGGTAGAGTTAGACTCTTTAAAATATTGAATGCTGTAGTTAGAAGTTTTTACCAAGCAAAGAAACCGAGTTAATCAAAGTATATAGATGCACATTTCTCATAGGAGATAGCCAGTAAATAAACAAAGAACTGAAATGAAGCTGGTTTGAAATTGAAGTCTCCTTCAGATGAGGTGAAGAACTTTGAAATATCACTCAGATTATTGTTGGTATATTCTTAGAGCCTGGTCCCACTGGAATTATGGAGGCCAGTAACAGGTGTTGATTTGAAGTACCTTGCTTTCTTTAGAGGAAAAACATTTTTTTTCCCTTGAGTTATGTGATCTTTTAGGGTAACAGGAACAAGAACACTGACATGATCTGAAGTTTTATAACTATCTGAACTTTTTTGTCAGGGGAAAACACTACTAACTCAACATTTAAGGTTTGTAGATCTTCTCAAAGTAATCATTTCATCAAAGCCCCAAATCCCTTTTTGTAATCAAATGACACTAAAGAGTTGAAATTCATCAGAGTATGTTAAGAAA